TCACACAACAGATGTTAGCTTAGCGGAGTTCTACATGGAAATGTTCGATGGCGGTAAGTGACAACGACAACACTATTTGAATTTTATTTTCGGGATAGAAGCACAGTTTTTAGTCCGATAGAACTATTGATATTTGCTCTCGAGCGAGAGCGCAGAATTTCTCGTCTGTAAAAGCCGAAGTTGTAGTACACTGGAACATGTAGTAATATCAACCAACACGCAGCATGTGACTTTAAAATCTCCTAAAATGAGCAATGATGATGCTAAACAATCAAATTATAGACTAATGAATGTTTTGTGCCCTACAAAAGCCATATCTGCTGATTTTAGCAAATCTTCAAAGTAATAAACGACTGAAGAAAGAAACGCTACGATTTTGCCATTGATTTTTCGTCTACATGCATCTCTCTAAACGTGAAATTTTCCATTCCTACAAAAAATCTCGAACGTTTTTCACATTTTTTACCTTTCTTTAACAACCATCTTGTATAAAGAGCTAAAAAATGTAGGTTTATTTGGTCAAGTGACCGCCGAGAGCAAGAAGTGCGTGACAGGTGTAGTTAAGAGAAACTTGTCACAGTCGCAGATTTTAAAAGGCATCCAAGACAAAAATACGGTAGTACCCAAAGATTTTTTTGATGATTTTCAGAGATGAAATGATGGGTTATAAAGGGTAATTAAGATTAGTGTTGTAGCTTTCTGGCAACGGGAGATATTTGACCTCAAAGTTGTCAAATATTTGAATGAATCGAAAAGTCTAAAAACACAGTCGTATATTTGCCTCTGTTGATTGACAAGCCGTCAATCAAACTGACTGATGCTCGCAGCAGACATTAACTAAGGATGTAAAAATATGTGTGCAAATCCTCAAAGTAATTGGTTAAATACCATCGTAGTAAGACCTTCATACATTTTACCTATTTGAAGCGATTTTCTTGGTGAAAACTAAGAAAAAAAATAGGTCCGCAATGCGTACTTGTGTGGGATTTCATTGACAAAGTGTTTGCAAGGGGTTTTTGAGCGGAAGCAAACCTGTCACTCACCGTGAGTCAACTGTACTACAGGGGTGATATTAGGCCTGGAATCAACAGCCTGAATAGTAATTTTTGTGCAGGAATTATTTGAACAAATACAGATTCACAGGAGAGATCTGGGGTATTAACTTATACTTTTATCAAGCAATATGCCTTTCCCTCCCTCCCTGGAAGCTTTTTGGCGTGTTTTTGAACGTTTGGTAATCGTCTTCAACAAATAAATTACCTCTTGGTGGCTTAGGCTATTTATTTGTTTATACGGCAATACTGGAAATACTTGAAGCAGTAAATATTTTCGTAACAGTCATTGAAAAAAAATTGAAAACATTTCTGCTACTACTGTTTAACTCGTGGATACACGATAGCGTAGAAACAAGTTCTTGTGGGCGCTCTGCGATATGCAAATTAGCGTGGACTCTTCGTAATTAGTCGTAATTAGTCTGCTTCGAACTCGAGATCTATCCTTCCGAAGAAGTAAGTCCAAAGTCCTGGCGCTATTATGATTGCACTGATCGTTGCGATATTTATTGTCTTTACACGCCTGTTTCGACATTTACTATATTGAAATGGACTTCAAATGTTTCAGATTAGTGCTATGATCAACTTAAAAACCAAATTTGAAGGGTCTTCGAATCGTCCATGCGCTAAACATAACGAGGACCAGCGAGAATCACGAAGACTTTGTGAGTGACAGCAAGCTGTTGACACAGAAATTCCCACGGAAACATGTACCCATGACATAAAAAAAATGGTAATTTGCAGCATTATTTCTTTCTACGCCAATTTGGGTCTTTCCGTTGTAATTGTTTCGTTTTGTTATTCTTCTATGCAAACGTGACTGTTTTGATAGTAAGAATGAAAGATGATCGCTTTCAAGAAGTCGTTGCCGAGCACGTGACTATAATCTGGCCGGTGTTGTTTTGATCACTTGAGATCTTTTTCGCTGAAAATACAGGACGACTTCCTATTTCAAGGAATGCTTTTCCAATTAATTTATATCGCATCGGTGTAAAAAAGTACAGGTATATGGGTGTTCTGAAAAACAAAAGGGAAATTCAAAACTACGAGAAATTGCGAGTAATCGGCCTCTTCTGCTACACGCGGGTTTTTTTGGTGTAACATGCGTGTGTTTCCCATAAGTTACAAGCACTTTACGCACGTGGGAATGCTGCAATCACGAATTTTAGATTACGTGAAAGTCACGCATGTGGTTGTTTGTTCACTTCACTAATATGTTTGTTTGCTTGTTGTTGTTTTTTTTGGTATCCTGGAGTATTTCAGGAGGGGTTGCAGACTTAACTGTAGAATAATTGTTTAATGCAGGGTTGTCAATAAAGGTTGCAGTTAGAAATTAGCCAAGATGCTAAAGGAGCTGCCTTGAAATTTCAAGACTGTGTGTTATGTAGTTTATTTTTGTCTTTTGTAAATGGTTGTTAAACTGGACAACTCTTAGAAAGATGACTTCAAACTTAATTTTAAAAGGCCTGTTCTGGTACCAAATGAATAAGCAGCATTTCCTTATTAATAGTTTTGCGAGTTTCTCATTACAAATTCCTCTGAAAAAAGGGAAACAACTCTTTTCATAACTATTTACTGCTTTCTTTTGTTGCTCTCTTAACTTAAAAACAATGTACATCATGATAAAGTAATTTGTTAGAGGACACCGTGAAATGAGGCCCAAACAGCTTTATGATCTGTGAAATATGTTGCTAAAACATCTGCTTGTATATCAATGTTAGATATATTTGTATATATATGATCAATTACTGTGTTGTTGTCAGTTGTATAAGTTGATATGAACTGTCTGTAATGGTTATCCCTCACTAGTAAATTATACAAAGGTCTTCTGTCTGTTTCAACAAGCCAATTTATATTAAAGTCTCCAGTAATGTTATTGTTGTCTGGTGAAATGTTATTTAATACCTCAGTTATTGCTTCATAAAGTTTCCTTACAGGCACGTTTGGGGAGTGACATATCCCTATGATTATTCAATCCTAAAGACTTGCTAACTTAATTACTGTTATTTCAACACCATGTATATTGTGACAATAGGGGTATCCAGGTAAGTATGGGATTTTACTGTACACAGCTGTACCACCATAAGACCTTGATCCATTGCTGGAATTAAGGTTGTCATTACGGAAGAGAACATAACCAGCAATGTCATACATGTCATTATTATCTTGAGAATTAAATCTTGTTTCTGTGAAAATATTGATATCAGCACTTAGATAAATTAAGTCTTTACGTATATCTTCTATGTGTTTGTGAAGAGACCTTACATTAAGATAACACAGTTTAAGAAGGGAAAATGTTATGTCATGGAGAGGGGAGATGCAAAGCTTAAGTTTTGCAGTTGTTCTTAATCTCTCCATCTGGATTAACAGCAATCTTGCTTTCACACAAATCAGAAATATATAGGCCTTCTATAACAGTCACTCTACTGAGTCCCACATAATGTATGTGTGGAATAGTATTTCTGGTACTAAAATCCACAACAATTCCACTGTCAGTATCACCTTGTGACCTGTGAATTGTTTTTGCTGCTGCGGGATGCAGTGGAAATTGTTTTCTAACAACTTGTGCTGTTCTGTTTCTACCGCAAACTGTGTAGTCACAGGGTTTACTGGGGTCCATGTGTATTCAATTCATTGTACATACAAATGTCTTTTTTCATTCCTTGTTTTCTGACCTACATCTGAGTGGTCAAATTGTACCCATACAATACCAGATGGTTTGGTTTGTTGATGTAACCGAACTAGTTTAACAACATTTCCAGCACCATTTGTCATGCCATCTTCGGTTCGTACATTCGTGACAAAGTGTGTTCTTTCACCCTCAGCAAGACAAAGGGTTGAGGCTTACTGTTTTGTTTTTCTTGGATCATTGGGTATTTGTCTTAGTATTTTGTTTCTTAGCTCTGGAGAGATAGCTCCAATAACACTATCTAGAGCATTTATTGTGAATTTGTTTCCTGTGGCTGCATTATGGGCCCTTTGATTAAATTCATCTACTTTAGCATTCTGTATAAATAAGTGAGATGCATCTATTGGGTGGTTGATGTCTTCTTGTATAGCTCTCTTTAAGTTTTGCAATGTCAGCTACTGTGTGTTTACCTTTACGCAACCTATTAAGTAATTCCACAAACAATTTGCTGTGTCTTTGACCCATGATTTCATTAAGTTCAAACATTTTAAAGTGTTTATGCCATAAACTGGGAGAAAGAACAGCATAAATCTACATTTTTGAGGTCTTTGAAAATATAAGCATCCATAACAGATTCTAATTGGAATAAGTCACCAATAGCAATTATGCTCACACCTCCAAAATCCTCTCTACAGCCTTTTATATCTTTAAGCCTATTGTTTAGCTGTATTGCAAATTACCATTACCATTTCCTACCATTGAGATTTCATAAAAAAAATCAATTGACTTCTCAAAGTGTTTAGTCTACTTGAATCAAGCTGTTTGTAATGTCTCAGTGATTGATTGGCAGGAATGGCCAGAGTGCTATGAAGAGTTACCCTTAAGCTTTACCAGTTGGAGCTAATAGTATAACTTTGATCTGATGAAAATCATCACTAGCTCTAGTGTTATAATACTTAAGCACTGCCTGATACAAATCTTTTGTTAAATGCGATTTGCCAACACCAGCCCCTCCACTGAGGAAGCAGTAGAAAGGGGTTTCTGAGGTTTTAATCTGATGTAAAATGTGATAACAAATTATTTTTGCTCTTTATCGGATGTCTGGACCATTTGACGAAAATCGAAATCAGGTAATTCATTCAATATCAGTGGTTCATTATTCAGCAATGTTGATGGAATGTTGAGATCATCAGAGAGGTCATAGTTTTCACTTAAATCAGGATGTAAATCTTCATGAGATCCAATCCTTGAACGGAATTGGTCAATGGAGATCCCCATATTTACTTGTGTGCTTGAGCGAGCAACAACAACAATCCAACTAACTAGAAACTCAGTTTATTAAAATAGATAACACTCTTGACAGTTCAAGGCAAACAATAGTTTCTTTCAGTTTGTGACACTTTGAGACACTCGTGAGACATTTTGAGACACTCGTGAGACACTTTGAGACACCCTGAGACTCTTTGAAGCGCAACCCGCACAAATACATTCAAGCCGACAAATGTTAGCTTGCGAGAGTACAATGACTCCTTTCAATCTGGCACAACCCGCACCGAAGGTCCAAGCCGAAAAATGTTGGCTTGTGAAAACGTAAAAGCTCCTGTGCAACCTGCACTGAACACAAGCCGCGTTTCAGCGTGTTGGCTTACGTGAAAAAATCTTCTGTTATAGACACCTGAAGAAATAACGAAACAAACGCCTCAGATTATGAAAGAAAGAACACAAACCAGGTGTACAAACGTAATCGCCTTTCGTGAGAGCTTAATCGTGAAGCTCCCACAACAAAATTGAAAAGTTAAAGCACGCAAAGAACCCGTGAAAATATGAAATGACTTATCCTTACCTTGGAAACGAAAATCCCCAAGAAACAAATATGAAATTCCGAATAAGTTCTCCAAAACCCAACGACTGAGAAGAGAAATGGCCACCGTACAATACACTATGAAAAAACGCTGACTGGAATCCAGTCTTCACGGCTCACTGAACGCAAATAGAAACCACGTGACAAGCACTTCTCTCTCGTGGACAAATAAATAAAGAAATAAAGAAATAAAGAAATAAATTTCGCGGGCCTTGACTAAGTGTGGGAAATCCCACACAAAAAGGGGGGGTTGTCTATCTCCCCCCAGAAAAAAAACAAAACAGAAACCAGTTTGTCTTTTTGAGTTTTGGGGTAGACCCTTTAAACTGGCAAAGTTTCATTGAAATCGGTGAGATGGCATGTAGCACGACTCTCCGGTGCTCTCGTGGACACGCTCTTATCATATCTGACACCTGTGACTCATTGAACTTAAGGAACTAAAGTATTCATGCTGAAATTTTGCTTTGCATTCCGCATTGAGTTCTTCATCCCGTTCAAAATAATATTCTCATCATGATTAATGGAAGTAATGGCATAGCAGTCAAGAGCTGGATTCAAATGTACATCAGGGTGGTCTCGACCTCTTAATTAAAGTAAATTGAGACAAGATTGAACTCCATTTAACCTCATTTAACTTTAGAGTGTTGAGTTCTTTTTTTATTATTATTATTATTATTATTATTATTATAGCACAGCTAACATATCTAACCTCTCACAATTGCCTTAAGGAAAGTTGGATTTAACTCAATGGCTGCTTCTACATCCCTTAGTGAATCCTGGTGATTCCCTGTTATTGAAATAAATATCTCTGATTAACCATACACGTTGCAAACCAACTACCATTACTATAATTTTGGGAAAAAACTTGTGATGCTCGTTGATATCTGGGGTAAGAGGTTATTTCGTTGTATATTTGAGAGGCCAAGATGTAAATTTTTTCGGGCATGCATTCAAAATTATCACCTTTTTCAGAAAACTACTTCTGACAACTTAATAGCTTCAAAATAGAAAAAAAAATGCATATTAAAGCTCTCATCATCTTACCAAGTTTAGAATGTGCAATTGCCCTGTTGTTGTGCAGTTTGGCCTTCAGTTCTTTCTCGTTGCAGTTCATTTTAATTCCTTTGGTGTAAAAATGAATAGCATTGATGAAATCTCCTTTCTTGAAGGCCTCATTACCCTCATTCCTATAAAGATCAGCTGTGGCTGCAAAGAAAAAATAAAATAATTCGAAAAAAAATTAAAAAATGGGTGTCAAAGTCTGTGGTCGTAGTTAATAATTATTCGTGTATAGTCACAGCTGCCAAGATCTGGAGATTTAAAATCTGCAGATTTTCAATAGTTATGATGATGCTAACAATGTAGGTGACAACATGGGTAAGAATAATGATGAGAATTATAAGCATCACTTAATTCGAGGCAAACCCCTGGAGATGAGAGATTTTGGAGATAGGTTTCCTAAAATTCCTATTCCCTGGGAAAAATTAATAAAATGTTCAATTGCCCCACACAATCTTATGTAAAAGGCGAAATAATTAGCAATTTCACTTTCAACTAATTGATCAAGCTTTAAAAACTAATTGACCAAGCTTTAAAACCTAGACCTTGAAGCCTTATTTCTTCTGAGCCATTTGTTAGTGAAAGTACACTATCTACCTTAAACACCTCCATATTCAATGATAATTAACACTTGTACTCTACTGGAAATTAGATGTGACAGTTTTTATTCAAATTCCCTAACGCCAGTCGGGCA